TCCTCGAGCGTATGGGGCTGTGCCACTGCTCTGCGGGCCCGGCTGGCGCTGGCCGACACGAAAGCAACCATATTTTTCTCCAGCTTGACCTCAGATCAGGTAGGCACACCCGCTGAACTTTAACATATCAATAAGCGGAGGAAAACAAACCAACAGGGATTGCGTCAGTAACAGCGAGTGAAGCGGGAAGAGCTCAAATTTGAAAGCTGGCTCCTTCGAAGTCCGCATTGTAATTTGCAGAGGATGCTTAGGGTGCGGCCCCTATCTAAGTGCCCTGGAACGGGCCGTCGGAGAGGGTGAGAATCCCTCTGGGATATGGTGTCCGCGTCCTTGTGAAGCTCCTTCGAGGAGTCGAGTTGTTTGGGACTACAGCTCTAAATGGGTGGTAAATGTCATATAGATCGCGCACAGGTAGAGTGATCGAAAGATGAGTTAAAATGTACGTGAAATTTTTGAAAGGGAAGCGCTTGCGTCCAGACTCGCCTTCAGGCAGGGTGGTGCGATTGTAACGGCTCAGGCCAACGTGGACAGTTTGATCTCATTGGGTAGCTCTAACACGAGAGAATCGCCTGAAGACGAGAATATCCCAGAGCTTCGCTCGTGGAATAACCGTCTCTGGTAAGCAGCCCCAGCCGCCCTTCGGGGTGGTCTGCCACACCTCATGATAATCCCCACCTCAACGATAATTTTTGTAACTCACAGAGGGTGGTCCTAATCATCTAGTTAAGTTAAGCTTATACACCAGTTGGATAGCAGCAGTTATCTAGAAGGATACCTCCTTAATGCTGAACAATCTCCCGAAACTCTCTTGTGCTCCTTTCCATACGCAGCGGATAAATAGGCCAAGCTACAGGGGTGCACTTACGGCTAGCAACGCCAGCGTGAAGGATATACATGAACTGAAGTTTACGGCTGAGGCTTCATATTCAAGATACCTTGTGCGTTGAAATCTCCACTCCTTTTCCTCACCCGCCATAAGATAATGAATTCGATCAACCTGCATTAACCTCAGCTGCCGCCGCTGGTAGTAGTCACCATCCAGTTCCTGGAGTTTATATCTCCTATATTCGTCTTTTTGGGTATCGATCTCCCTCCTTCTCTCAACTTTGCGCCTTTGGGCGATCTTGAATGCCTCCCAGTGTCTTTTACGACCTTCCTCCGTGGCTTTGCTTTTCCATTTTACTGATTTAGGCTTAATTTGCGGCTTCTTTACGCTCTCCAAAACTTTCTCGCGTTGCAGCAATAGTGGCCCATCGTCAAGTGAAATAGTGCTCTCGTTATACGTTGCTTTCGTTTGAGACTGGGCGGTATAAGGACACCATCTAACCTGAGTTAAACAGAATGTTAGCAATTACTGACAAGTCAGCCAATGTGACTTTTACAAAGCTCTTACCTCATGAATGTCGAACTCTGATGCTAGGAGTCTGATAATAGACTGCAGCCAACTACTTAGGTTCTCTTTCTTTTCTTGGAGTATTCTCAGTCTGGTTTCATCCGGTGATTGATGGTGAGCCATGGCGTTTCGTATCTGCCTGCACTGATCAAGCAGGGTTTTGAAGTATTTCAGGGATTTCTTATTTAAAGTCTGGCGAAGCTTTTCATTGGGAATGGAACATGCATGTTGCAGCGTGTCGATTATCGTCGGCAGGTCGACAGCTTGATGCCAACAGAAACCCCTCTCTTCAATACCTTCTGGGTCAACAATTTCTAATAAAACAAACCCTAAAAATTCTAACTCATCGTTCCAGTCAGAAAGACGTTTGTGCGACTCAATGTATACTGCTGCTGCTGAAGACATATTGCTTGTAGGAACACTGGTATTTAATACCACTCACTTCATCGTATTAAACAAAAATATTAGCAGGATGACCGTAATAATAAAGGATATATAGAATCTGTTGTCGTCATGTTGTGATCATGACCCAGACTTTGATAACAGATGTATAGTCAGCAGATCAACATATCTTGTAGAAAAGACATTCATTGGTGTTCCTATGTGCACTTGACTCAAGAATAGTCCCGGCTCTACAAAGATTATATTAATATAAATGATTGCATGAAACTTTACTGTCTAATATAAGGATTATTAATACTT